AGCTATGGTGTGTTCAGGGTGGCGCTGCTCCTTATAAGCTGATAGACCCGCAAGATGTGCTGGTCTGTGCAACGCTCCACTGCCCCACTTTGCCCCCGATACCAGCGAATCCGCGGATCCTTCAAGAAAAACGAACTGTGGTCAGCGAACTGGAAAACGAGTAGTCGCCTGGTACACTACCTGACTCCGTCTGAATTCCGTTCATTGCAGATTCGTCAGTACAAATTAAGTAGCCTATACGATTTTAAAATGGCTGTCTTCTGGGTTGCAGCGCCGTGAAGTCTGGTAGAAGTTTTCCAAAGTTTCAGAGGGCCTTGCCCTCATCGCCCTGACGCTGGTAAACGTCTACCGGACTTCACGGCGCCGTAACCATCTCCATGTTATGCACAATGCATCCCCCTCAAAGTATTGACTCTGCTGGTCAAAATTGTTTTCGTCTCTGATAAGTTCAGGGCATGAATGCCACTCCATCTCTCAGTAGTTTTGACTTTGTGAGTTTTCAAGGATCATTTGTTACAACGGAAATGTTTTTAAATAAAGAAGAAGAGGGGCAGATAATTTCTTGTGTGGAAGGACGACATAAAACTATAAGATACTCCTGAAAACGCACATAAAAATGAACTTTGTTTAGATGTATCCATGGCATTTTAAATATAAATATCAGTGATGAAACGTCTCAAATATGTAGCAAAAGATGGCAAGAGACATTAGCTTTATTATTATTATTATTTTTATAATAAATGAATTGAATTGAATTATTATTATATCCCATCTCTTCATCACTTTATGGGGTATGTACTCCCATGTACCCGAGACAGACCTTGTCCCTAAGGTACATAGGGCAGCAACTATTTCCGGGATCCATATTGTTTTTAGCAAGTACCACATGTATTATATAATTTTATTTTATGAAAGCGTCTTTCGGATGATGTATTATTATTATAATATTTTTTTTATCAAGTGATAAATATTTCCAAGACATGATCTTCATAGCACCGAACGGGTTAATTGAATGCTTGTGCTAAATATTACATTATCCTTCAGTCGAGAAACTCATTGATGATACTTGCACTGTAACTGTTTCACTCTCTTTACGACTGGTTCCATCTTGTTAGCTGTGTTTCGTTCTTACAATTAGCACATGTAATTACGTCCTTGTCTTTGACAATTTGTTGTCCTGATTTCTTCTGTAGTATGCACTTTCATGAAATTTCTCTTTTTAACTTGAATTTATGTCAATTTATTTTTACCGTCAGCAGTAAAATAACGAAAGATTACCAGTTCTATGTTAGTCTTTGTTTAAAGAATATTCTTTTTTAGCAAATCTCTATGGTAACGTGCAGTTCCTATTATGGAGAGTAGTTAATAAATATAAATAACTGATGATGGCTGTCTTCTGGGTTGTTGCGCCGTGTAGTCTGGTAGATTTCCACCAACGTTTCAGAGGTCATACTGCCTCCATCATCAGGGCGATGAGTATGAAGCTTTCCGTCTTCTGGGTTGTTGCGCTGTGTAGTCTGGTCGATGTTAACTAACGTTTCAGAGGTCATACTGCCTCCATCATCAGGGCGATGAGTATGAAGCTTTCCGTCTTCTGGGTTGTTGCGCTGTGTAGTCTGGTCGATGTTAACTAACGTTTCAGAGGTCATACTGCCTCCGTCATCAGGGCGGTTTTATAGGAACCGGGTAACCTGAGTAGCCTGACCCAACGGCGCAACAACCCAGAAGACAGTGATCTTCAGAGTCGCCGCTGTGAAAACCTCAAATCCTACATAAATAACTGATTTTGAACATTAAATTCATCAGACTTGCTTCTGAGCAAACTCTCTCGTGTAGAGTATGGAAAAGGTTGTTATTATTAATATGTCTCTGATTTGTGTTTTTAGATCTTCAGAATGCTCTTGACCATTCTTCTCTTACTGGAGCTTGACTGGGAGACTGTGGCTTAATCCTGACGCTTTCAGGACTGTTCATCAACTCAAAGAAACGTATGTAGCACGTAAAATACTATTTCTCTGAGGTGTGCTATTCCTGTGTTTCCATGTGTCTAGTGATTAAGTCTTTCGATGCGAGATTGATTTTATCCGACATGGGTGTCAGGGCAGTATAAAATGGATGAATTTTCTCGCTGAAGTTGATAGAAATTCAAAGCGACAAATAGAATTCAGACGAAGATTGCCTTTTGGAATGTTGTGTCGTGTGATCTAGTAGAAAACGGCTGACATTTCAGAGGTACACACTCTCTCCATCACTCCTATTTACCACAAGAAATACATTTTTGAGTATGGTATAAAGAAGTTAATCCTTTCCATGCTGATAACTAGATAAATCGTCCTGAAATCGAACTTTTCTTCTGTTATTACCTTTAATGCATGTCAATAGTCAAAATACATCTTTCAAATCTCTCGGTAGCTCAAGCTATATATTTTCATCGCCCTGATGACGGAGGCAGTATGATCTCCGAAACGTTGGTTAACATCGACCAGACTACACAGCGCAACAACCCTAGAAGACGGAAATCTTCTATATATTTTCAGTTTTGGAAAAATAAATGTCATGGAAATGTAAAAATAAAAATGATTATTGAATTTGTAGTTTAGGTGCGTCATGTTTGTGTTGTAATTCAGTATATATTTATTTATTATTTCAGTCTATACACAAACTTGATTTTTTAAAATGTTGTTGTTAAAATTAAAATTTGGCGCTTTTCATCGTTATTACGATGTTACATTTCAGCGCATATTATTTTACGACATGTTTCGATGCTATTGCATCATCCTCAGGTTTTT